AGAGAGAGAGAGAGAGAGAGAGAGAGAGAGAGAGAGAGAGAGAGAGAGAGAGAGAGAAGGCCAAAGGTAGATAATAACCAATGTGTTATGTGAACCATGAATCTTGGTTTAAAAATTAGTCTGCATGGGGCGGGGAGATGGCTGTTAGTAAAATGCCTGCAAAAATATGCACACACAAATACACTACACGCAAAAGAAAGAAAACGAAGGAAAAAGGAAAACGTACTTACAATTGGTAGAGTGCTTGCCGAGCATGCACCAAGTGCTGTGCTTAGTCTCTGGCAGTGCGTGCCTGTAATCCCGGTGTTCAGGTGGCACAGGCAGTAGGATCAGAAGTTTAAGGTCATTTTCAGCTACACAGTGAGTTCAAGGCCAGAACTGAATAAATAAAACCTTGTCTCAAGAAAAAAAAATCAGGATACTCTCCTTCATAAATAAACACCATACTACATCTAAGAAAATTAACTTAATACAATCTAAGAAAATTCCATCATGAAGCTTTACAAATTTATAAAATGCAAATTTCTCCATGTACTAGAAAATGTTCTGTTGCTGTTTTTTTTTTTTAATTCTTCTGCCTGTGCAAAAAGTAGTAGATAATTGACTTGAAGAGGGAGAAAGGCCAAACACCATGACTCAGCAACAGTCTACCAAGAGACTGTTTTATGGGGATGCCATGGCTCTAGACATGATGCAATCCTCATGATGTATGCCTGTGTAGTTACTAGAACTAGAGAATTCACATCACTTTCCCATGCTTCCTTCCTTCTCCCTCTACCCCTCTCTCTTTCTTTCTTGGTCTCACTGTGTAGCCCAGGCTTGCCTCAAGCTCACCAACCTCCTGATTCTGCCCTCCAAGTGCTGGTATTCTAGGCAGATGTCTGGTTTGGAATTCAAGATTCTGAGATCTCTGCATCCAGACATCTACCGGCGCTGCAGTGAGAAGAGGGAGCATGGAGGTGAGCTAGTTTCTCAGTGTTCCTCTTACTCATGCTGAATGTGGAAAGAAGCAGTGTGTGTGTGTCTGTGTGTGTGTGTGTGTGTGTGTCTGTGTGTGTGTGTGTGTACCTATGAAGCTCAGAAAAGAGCACCAGATCCCCTGAAGCTGGAGTTACAGACAGTTGGGAGTGGCCTGATATGGCAACAAGTGCTCTTAACCCCTGAGCAACTCTCCAGTCCTTCAAATTGCTTTACTGAGATGGGGTGTCATGAAGTCTGGGCTGGCCTTGAATTCCCTGTATACTGGGAGATGATATTAAACTCTTGATTCTCCTGCCTCGACCTCCAAGTGCTGAGGGTCTAGGCAATCACTATCACGTCTATTGTGTAATACTTCCCTCTGAAATTAAAATCTTCCATCTTTGGTAAACCCAATTCAATGCATGGTTCACCATGTTACTGTTTGGTCTGCCATCAGTTCTCCATCCAGCTCTCTTGGCCAATTATTTGAAGCAAGTTTGGTAAGAATAAGGAGGGTGGCTACGGATATGGCTCAGTGGTTAGGAGCATTTGTTGCTCTTACGGAGGCCTGGGTTCAGTTCTTGGCACCCACCTGGTGGCTCACAACCATCTAACTCCAGTTCTAGGGAATCTGATATCTTCTTCTGACCTCCAAGAACACCCACACACATAAAATGAAATAAGTAAATCTGGAAGGAAGGAAGGAAGGAAGGAAGGAAGGAAGGAAGGAAGGAAGAAAGGAAGAAAGAAAGAAAGAACAGTGTGCCAAGGCAGCCTATACAAACGAGCCCACTACCAGCAGCTATCATTTGAGAAGCAAAACCTGTGAACAATCAAATGATCTCTAGGTTAAGAAAAGCATTCCTGGAGCTGGAGAGATGGCTCAGTGGTTAAGAGCACTGTCTGCTCTTCCAGAGGTCCTGAGTTCAATTTCCAGCAACCACATGGTGGCTCACAACCATCTGTAATGAGATCTGGCGCCCTCTTCTGGTGTGTGGGCACATGGAGGCAGAATGTTGTATGCATAATAAATAAATCTTTTTTTTAAAAAAAGCATTCCTTACAGACAAGATGCCAAGGAAGTCGTAGCTGGGACAAACCTGAGAATACTTCCTCCAAAGCTACGAGTGAGTTTCTTATGCACTTTCTCCCCGAAACCTAGCAAGTTACATGCTGCTGTGCATGTCGCTTGCCTCTGAATCCTGTTTCATTGTATTAAAACACTTCAAAATCAAGTAATATCTGTTAAAAGGTGACCATTGTTTCTCAACAGCTCACCGCTTAGTAGCTAGGAATTTACCATGTGATCCTAGAATTTGTGGGTGCCAGTAAGAAGATGAATCCAACTGATGTTTGAATTAACTGGTAACTGATGGTTGGTAAGCTAACTGTTAACATCTCTAAGCCTTTGTGTGCAGAATTCACTCAACAAATACATTTTAGGCAGTGTCCTAGGCATGTGGAGCATGGGGTAAACAAAACAGCTATGCTCCATACTCAGCAAGTGATTCATGAGCAAGATGGCTCAGCAGTTAAGAGTGAATGCTGCTCTTTAGAAAGACGAGAGTTCAGTTCCCAGCACCCAGTTGTGAAGCAATTCACAACTGCCTGTAATGCCAGCATCCTGGGAGCTGACGTCCTCTTCTGGCCTCCCTGGGCATTCTCATGCACCTCACACACATACACACACACTGCATATATATACACTGTATATGTGTATGTATATATATAAATATATATATGAAATGACTGAAAATCTATGTAATGTGTACTCTCTACTACCTGTGTAATTAAGTAACTCATCACAATTGCAATAAAAACTCTTACCTCAGCAGATATGAAGATTAAATGAGTCAATGTGTAGTCAGGAAATTAAAACTGGTATTAGAGTACTGCATTAAAGTTAAATGGACCAGACATGGTGGTACCTGTCTGTAATCATAGCACATAGGAGATTGAGGCTGGAGGTCATGCATTCAGAGCCAGCCTGGACTACAAAATGAGCTGGAGCCCAGCGTTGGATACATAGGAAGGCCCTAGTGAGCAGGATGCTTTTGATTCACATGCATGGAGACTTGAGTTCAGTCCTTGGAACTCACAGTGGGAAGAGAGAACCCACTCCCTAAAGTTGTCCTCTGATCTCCACGCATGTGGATACATGTACATACATACAAAAGTCAAAAATATTTTAAGGGAATCTCTAAAGATGGCTCAATGGCTAAAGCACTTGCTCCACTCATCGAAAAGCTGGGTGTGCTAGACAGTCTAGCAATTGGTGAGTCCCAGGGCCAGTGAGAGACCTTAAGGTAGATGTTGACAAAGGAAGTTGCCCTGTGTTGAATTCCGGTCATATACACATGAACCAGTACACACATGAACATGTACACGTATCAAGCATAAACTAATCAGTCAAGCAAAATGGGCAATGATAGACTTGCTAATCTTCCTAAATGATGCTGGGATTGCAGACATTTGCCACTATGCCTGGACTATGTTTTGAATATACTTAAAATATTAGAAGCAGGGCTTGGAGAAATAGCTCAGCAGTTAAGAGCACTTGTTGCTCTTGCAGGGAACTCACATGGTGGCTCCCGACTCCAGTTCTAGGTATCTGACACCTTCTTTTGACCTCTGTGGGCACTGCACATACAAGATACACATACATGCAGGCAAAACATGCAAACATGAAAAAGGAATAAATTTAAAAAAATGCTAGAAGCAAAAACCATTGTATCTCTTCTGTTCCTTACTAGAAAAAGGAAGAAGTCTCCTTCCCTCATCCTAACACTACCTGGGGGACGTAGGCTTACTAACCTTAGGGGAGAAAAAACACTTATTGCTAATTGCTGTTAGGAAGTACGTTAGCTCAGGGCTCAGTGGTAGAATGCTTGCCTGGCATGGACAAGACCCTTGCATGAAAGAAAGAAAAAGGTAAGAGAAAGGGAGACAGGAGAGAGAGGGAACAATTGCTAGTGTTAATTAGAACCGTCATGCCCAAACTGGACATCTGAGTGCTGGAGGAGAAGGAGACCCCAGCCGAGAGGTTTTGCCAAGTGTTTTCCTGTCTGAGCAAGCCCCAAGTAGAATGCAGAATGAAATGTGTTTTACCCGTGTATGGACAGAACTAGAATCTGTGCAGATGCTGTTGTGATTCACTCAGGAGAGATTCTAACATCGACAAGGTTGTCCTGGAGTTTGTGGCCATCCCCCTTCCTCAGCCTCCAACTACCAGTCTTTTTCTTGTCTTCATGTACTTTCTTGTTCAGATGTTATCCTGTAGGACCTGGGCGGCATGGAGGTCCTGGTCAGCCCGAGCTACAGAGATCAGACCTTGTCAGAAAAAAAGAAAAAGGAAGAAAGAACGAACGAAAGAAAGAAAGAAGTCAGAAAGACAGAAAGAGAGAGAGAGAGAGGACATGAAGGAGCTAGAGCTTCTCTCTTCTCTCCCCACCTTTAAAGTCTCCCCAAAGAGAGAAAACTACATCTTTTACAGTTGCTTTAAAAATTGCAGTTGATTTTGATCTTTTGTGTGTTTAGGGGGAGGGGAACACTTGGGGGAGGAGACATTTTTGAGAGTCAGTTCTCTACTGTGTGGGTCCAAGGAATCAGGCCTTCAGGTGACTGGTTGAGTCACCACACAAACAATGGGGTAAGGCTGGGTGTGGTGGCCCATGTCTTTAACCCCAGCACTCAGGAGGCAGAGTCAGGCAGATGGCTAAGAGTTTGAAGCCAGCCTGGTCTGCATAGAGAGTTGCAGGCCAGCCAGAGCTACATAGTGAGACTGTCTCAGTAAATAAATAAATAAAATCTTTTTAAAGGGCGTGTGTGTGAAAGGTATTTCTGAACTAAGATGCCTGAGACTGACCTCTGACCTCTGGCCTCCGTCCACACCACCTCACATGTGCACCTGCACACATGTCTACACATAAATATGCAGTTTAAAAATCAAAGGTGAAACATGCACTATTACTCAGTTTTAAAGTACCTAAATTTAGTCGGAGTTTTAGGAGGTCCACCTCCTTGTACTTCCAGAATCAATTATTCTCTGAATTTAACAATTCTACCATTCTTTTTTTCCCCAGAATTTTACTTTTCCTGTGCTTTGCTTTGTTTTCTTTTTTTTTTTCTTGTTTTGGGGGTTCGTTTTGTTTTGAGACAGATTTTCAAGTAGCTCAGGCTGACCTTGAATTTGTTATATAGTTTGGGCTAGCCTTTAATTTCTGATCTTCCTGCCTCTGCCTCCCAAATACTAGGATTATAGACGTGTACTATCACAGTGGGATGAGTTCTTGCATATTATATAAGTGAAATTACTAGGTGAAAGATTTCGAGTGATCCTGGCAGGTCCCACGGTGGGTAGGAAACAGTACACCATGCAGACAGTGAGTGAGTGTGAAGTTTTATTAAAGGGACATGTAGGGGGAGGAAGGGAGGGAGGGGAAACAGACCAGTTTACCTCAAGATTGGGAGTGGGCAGAGCTTGTCTCTTAAAGGGACAGGGTACTGACAGGGAAGGCCAGCAAAATTATAAAGCTAGGTCTGTATTTTTTTTTTTTTTTTGCGATTTAACATTCAATTGACTTTTGTGTTTTTTCTTTGGTTTTATGCATACATTCTTGTGTGTTGTTATGTGTATGTGCATACAGTGTGTCTTCCTCAACCTTCTTTTTGGAGATAGGCTGCCTCATTGTTCCTGGAACCCACAGAGTTTGAGGCCAGCCCAGTGTACCTAAGTGAGTTTTAGAGCAGCCAAGGCTACACAGTGAGGCCCTGACTCAAAGAAGAGGAGGAGAAGGAAGAGGAAAAATTTTTAAAAGATAGAGGAACTGTTTAGGAAAGCCCAGTTTAATGGGTCCATTGTCAGCCATGAGTAAAGCAGCTGGAATGCCTGCAGAGATGCCAGCTCCTCCCTAAATCGGCAGACAAAGGGGGAAGCAGAAATACCACAGGAGCCACGTGCAAATGCCACCCTAAAGATACAGGTTCCAGCCTCCAGGCTGAGGAACTTGATTCAGATGAGGGATCTAAGGGAGAGAGACTAGGGGACCAGCAAAGGTCACAAATGTGGTCTTAGGGGTTGTGACCACAACATCTTGAAAACTGAGGGACGTGTGTGGTATAGCCCCAGATAGGAGAAAACAGATTTTGTGAGGAGCTGATTTAAAAGTGTGCCCTGGACTGGTGAGATTGCTTTGTGAGTAAGGGTACATGATGCCAAGCCTAAAGACTTGAGTTAAGTTCCTGGGATCCACATGGTAGAAGAAGGTCGTCCTCTGACCTCCACACATACATACAAATAGACAAATTTAAATAAAGTAAAAATTGTGCTCTAGACGTCAGTGTTACTCGGGCCTGTAATTCTAGCACGTGGGAGGCCGAAGCAGGTGGATTATATGTCTGTTCCCCTTTGCACCTGTCTGTAAGAGCACGCCAGTGTTTGGGTTGTCTAATGGGAGTCACATTACATAAGATAGAGCTATATTTAATACTATAGCTTATGTGAACAAGAGAGAAATATGAATTTGATTACCAAAAAATCATTTCAATACAGAACATGACAAAGCAGGGAGAAACAAAACATCTTGAAGCCTCTCACGCCAGCCGCTGTGCAATGTGTTTACCAGGGAAGTGTTTCCACGTCCTTTCCATTAGGGCATCTCCCAAGTGCTGCTTTCCTGGACCTTTCCCGTCACTAAGGGAAGTCTATGGTGAAGATAGAGAGCTAAATCTTAGATGATGCTCTCTCTCTATCACACACACAATAATGAAATACATAAATAAATAAGCCTATTGTTATAAATAATATGCAGATTAAGGTACATATTGGTAAAGTTGCTGAATGCCAGAGATAGAGAAATGTATTATATCCACGTAAAAGGAATAAATCATATATGAGGGAATAAATCTTGCCTGGCGTGGTGGTGCGTGCCTTTAGTCCCAGCACACATGAGTTTGAGGCCAGCCTGATCTACAAAGTGAATTACAGAACAGCCAGGGCTACACAGTGAAACCCTGTCTACCAACAAACAAACAAACAAAAACAAACAAAACCTCACTTAGTCTTTGATTTAACCAACTGCAATATTCAAAGAAACAATGTGTGGTAGTTTGAATGTAATTGGCCCCATGATCTCATAGGGAGTGGCACTATTAGGAGGTGTGGTTTGTTGGAGTGGTTATGGCCTTGGAGGAAGTATGCATTGCTGGGGCAGGTTTTGAGGTTTCCTATACTCAGGATATTGCCCAGAGTCTTGATTTACTTCCTGTTGCCTGCAAGATGTAGGACTCTCAGCTATTGCTCCAGCACCATGTCTGCCTGCATAAATAACATCATGTTCCTTGACATGATGGCAATGGACTGAACTTCGGAAACTGTAAGCAAGCACCCTTAATTAAGCACTCCTTTTAAGAGTTTCCGTGGTCACGGTGTCTTTTAACAGCAATAGAAACTAAGGGGAAAAAACAAACCAATCATTTTTGAGCCAACTTTTCCTTTAACTATAAAGACAGCCTGGTGTGATGACGCACACCTTTAATACCAGCACTGGGTAGACAGAGGCAGGCAGATCTCCATGAATCAAAGGCCACCCTGGTCTACACAGCTAGCTCTAGGACAGCCAGCACTCTATAGTGACATCCCGCCTTAAAAATAAGTACATAAATAAAGACACTTTAAAGAGTCCACCAGTATGGAAAAGACTATTTGACAAGGAAAGACCACCAATAAACAGATGACTCCAAGAGTAGGAATAAGCATGTCATGGGAGAAGACCAGTAATGAACACCAGGTTTAGACACAGAGCCCAGCGGACCTTATGGGGATTGTGGTATGAGAATCGAAAGTGAATACTGTTAGCCTTTCCTATATGAAAACGGCACGGCCAGCACAATCAGGAGAGGCAGGAGAGGAAGAGAGGGCTGAGGGTATGATAGCTCACGTCCTTGGCTAGAACTCAGCAGATATTGTCTAATATTGAAATGCATTGGTTTTATTTTGGTTGGGTTGGGTTGGTTTTTGTTCAGTTTTGTTATTCTTTGGACTTTGGAAACAGGGTCTCTTGTAGCTCCATTGATCTCCAACTCTCTATATGTGAAGGATGACCTTGAACTCTGAATCCTCCTGCCTCACCCTCCCCAGTGCTGGGAGTTATAGGCCTGTTCCACAACATCTAGCAGGAAGTTTCATTCTTGTTCAGAAAATAGTCTCTCAAGTTCAAAAGTTACTGCTGCTGCTGCTGTTTCTCTTCCTCCTCCTCCTCCTTCTTCCTCCTCCTCTCTCTGCCTTCTTCCTCCTCCTCCTTCCTCTTTTCCCTTCCTTCTTCCTCTTCCTCCTTCTCCTTCCACCTCCTCCTCTTCTTGGTGTGTATGGGTTCTTTCTGCATGTATATCTACACCACTTGGGTGCCTGGTATTCTTGGAAACCAGAAGAGGCATCAGATCTCCTGGAACTGGAATTACAAATGGTTGTGAGGCCTCATGTGGGTGCTGGGACTCGAACACAAGTCTTCAGTAAGAACAGCCAGAGCTCTTAACCACTGGGCCATCTGTCCGGCCCCAGCTTTTGTTTTCCTTGTTTAGTGACATTTTGCTTTGTTTTGCTTTTATGCTGGTTTCATAGTGTTGCTCAGACTGACTTCAAACTCTGTTCTAAACCCTAATACAACAGGGGGAGAAGACAAAAGACTGTTTTAACATGATACAAAGGACAGCTAGAACTGTTACTTGCTTCAATACTTTGAGACATCAAGCCATTAATTCATGAGAAAAGCATTCTGTTGTTTAGACTGTGAACCCATCCTAGACCCTAGGTCAAACCTCTCAGTTCAAAAGAAGGAGCAGAAGCACGCTTGAATTTCCTGACCTTTGGTCAGGGTGAAGTGGATCTACCTGTCTGGGCCATCCTAATGGCCCAAACATCTACTAACTGCACCCTAGGTCAGGGTGTATAGCCACACTTGTCAACAACTTTGAACAAGCATAAACTCTCTGACCTTCAGACAAGTTGGAAATAGGCTCACATTTTTGGGTCTTCATACAAAACAAACTGGATAGTTATAGCTTGCAGTTTTCCTTGTTACCAAATTCAGAAAGAAAAAAACTTAGATAAGAGATGTAAAGTTTATAAGGTTGAAAAACTTAAGAGCTTAAGTTGTTTATCTAAAAAGATGTTTTAAGGTCTAAAAAGATATTTTAGGATGGTAATACATACTTATGATAGAAAGTAGTTTAGGTATAAAACTTTGGACTCACTAAGATAATACAGTACTTTCTCCAAATTTGCCAAAATACATATGGGCTAAACATTGTGAAAGTAATTCTTACCTAATAATTGTCCTTACTGTATTAAAATTAAACCTTTCTTTTTTAGTTAGACAATAGGGGAAACACTGTGGGTATTTGCACACTGTGTGAAGATGTATTGCCATGATTGCTGGAATAAAAAGCTGAACAGCCAATAGCTAGGTAAGAAGTATAGGCAGGACTTCCAGGCGGAGAGAGAACTCTGGAAAGAAGATGGAGTCACCAGTCAGACACAGAGGAAGCAGGACATGCAGAAGGAGAGGTAACAGCCATGAGCCATGTAGCAGAAAGTAGATTAAAATAAATGTGTTAATATAAGTTATAGTTGGAAACAAGCATAAGCTATATGACTT